CCAGCAGCGCCCGTGCACGCTGCGCGCTGCACGCGGCAGGCTGCTGGCCGAGCCCAGCCGACTGCCGGTTCGGTCGAACCGCAGTCCGGTTCAGACCGGCTGGACCGGTTCAGTCTCATTTTAGGCCGGTTCGTTTCATGTTTAAGTGTTCAGCCCGGTTGATAATTTTAAGGACATTTTCAGTTAAATTTCCAGGATTATTTCAGTTCAGTAAATTCATGTCCAATCAGTTCAGGTTAAGTCAGTTCCGGTTATTCTGGACAAGTCTAAATATCATGTCAGGTTAAATAGAGCATCTTAGCAAAAATTATCAGTTAAGTTAACAGTCTGAGCATAGTCAATAGTAATTGTTTATATTATTTTCAGTTTGATCAGGCATCAGCACTACCATTCAGTTCAGCAGTTCAGGTGGGGACTCAGACTACGTATCACATTGATTATAATTACATTACCATGTTTGAGGTATGTATTTCAGTTGAGGCATCTGCTGGGAATGGTCGCCGGTCCATTCTGGGTTCTAGTGGCCCTAGTCTGCCCACTAGAGTGTGCACATGGTGTCCGACTTTGCCGGCAGATGAGGTAACGGTCAGGGTCACGTTTGCGTGACGATTTCAGGGTCACGGTTGCGTGACGATTTCAGATTCATGTTTATTACCGGCTTGAGGTTGAGGTTATGTATATACTGATATCATGATGTTGTTATTATTTTCGATGTTTTACATTAGTATGAGTTTCCACGGAGCACAGTGCCATAGTGCTCACTCCCCAGTTTTATCATGTTTTTCAGGTCAGGACGTCGGGCCGGGAGCATGAGCGTGACGTGACGGGGACTTCAGGATATTTATGTTTTGGACTGTATAATTATTATGATGACTTACGCTTCTGCTTATGATATTTTGATGACTTGTGATGATGTTTTTGATGACTTTTGACGTACTCGTTTTGATGAACTTATTTTGATTAACTTTTGGAAACTTATGCTTTCAGTAACCGGACGATTTTATTAAAATTAAAATTAACGGTTTTCAAAATTAAGTCACGATTTTTAAAGGTAGCACCCCGAATCAGTTTTCGCAAAGTAAAAAGGTTTTATTTTAAATAACTTTGCGAAATTTGCGCTACTCTGATTTTACGATAAGGAGGGGTGTTACAATTGGTATCAGAGCACGTTTCTGCGTCTCTGAATAGTTTATCAGTCAGAAATTTTCAGAAAAACCTGAACAGTCACGCCCACGCCTCGCCGACTCCAGGTAAGTGCTGATTCAGTTTTCAGTTATAAACATATTACTTTGTCTATGCTCAGAAATCAGTAATCAGACTTAGTTAAGATGCTCGATTCAGATTCAGACTTTAGAATTCAGTTATAACTCTAGAATTCAGCATATTCAGACATGACTTTAGAGATCAGTACACTCAGATATGACTCTAGACTTTAGTATCTTTCGATATAACTCTAGAGATCCTCAGGTTTCACGTCGGTATTTATCGGCCATTTTTGGCTACTCGTCAAGAGATTTGTGTGTCTCAGTAATCAGTCAGAATATCATCATGTGTTCAATAATTTTGAACTTTCTCAATGTTCAGATGCCGCCACGTAGGGAACCCGATCATCCAGTTCCTACTCAGACTACAGTGGTCGCGCAGTTCCGCGACTATCATGCCGAAAAGTTCTCAGGGCAGGGAGATCCTCGCGTAGTTGACGAGTGGATTCAGGGCTTGGAGTTTATCTTCGAGGTCATGGAGTGCCCTGAGAGATATCGCGTCCTTTGCGCTCAGCTTCAGCTCACCGGTGATGCCAGGCTCTTGTGGAACGCTTACTGGAGCATGTGTCCCGGCGAAAAGGCAGGTTGTACGTGGAAGATGTTCAAGGAGTTAATCCGCGAGAAGTACTACCCCACATACTACTGAGCCGAGATGGAGCGTCAGTTTCTATCGCTCCAGCAGGGTACTCGTATTGTTGACGAGTACGAGAGGGAATTCACGAGACTTGCAGCTTTTGTTCCTGATTTGGTCCGCACGGAGGCCCAGCGAGCGCAGCGTTTCATTGACGGGCTTTACCCAGCAGTCCGTCATAACATCGTAGGCCACGGGACACAGACGTACGCACGTACAGTCTCCATTGCCCAGGAGGTGGACGCCAGCATTAGGAGGGAGGCCGTTCGTGAGCAGTTCCAGCCATCCGCCCCTGCTCAGTCATCTTCAATTCCACCATTTCCAGCTCTACCATCTACCCAGCCAACGAAGAACAACAAGAGGAAGGGGAAAGGTGCCCCGGCAGATAAGAGGACCCGACGGAGGCTACAGCAGATCCCTCAGTGCCCGACATGCGGACGACTTCACAGAGGCGAGTGTCGCTTTGGTCAGGATG